GGTATGTGTGGGGTGTGGGGTGTGGGGTGTGGGGTGTGGGAGGTGTGTGGGTGTGGGTGTGGATGCGAGGTATGGGTCTGGGTGTGGATGCGAGGTATGGGTGCGGGTGTGTGGGTGTGGGTGTGGGTGTGGATGTGGGTGTAGATAGAAGGAATACCCACTAACACCCACACCTCACCCACACCCACACCCACATCCACCCCTTATTTTTTTCGTCAACATTTGAATAAGTATCATTGGTGAGCGTTTCAAATACATCGGTCGTCTATCATAAAAATACTTTGTTAATTATAATTTTGTTAAACTTTGATACAATAATACTGACTGATTATGTTTATAAACAGTATTGTAAATGAAAGTCGTCGTTAGAATATTTAAGTTAATTCTAATTTTCATCTTCTTCAATTTTGTTAGTGCAATTGATATTGAACTTGTTGATTTTGGTATTCCTGTATTTAATTTTACATCTTGTAATGATATATCTCTTTTACGTTTCGTAAGTTTCGTCATTGAATTTAGTTCAGTTGATGAACCACGTTTATGATTTGGCTCATTATTCAATGCCGTCGCATTTTTTATTGTATTGTCAGTTCGATTGATCTTTTTATCATGAAGTACCTTACGTTGATGTAATAATTTTTCGATTCTTCTTGATTTCATACCTTTTTCACGACACTTTCTTCGAAAACGTTGATCTTTTTGATTTGATTTTGAATTAGAAGATTATTTTCAACAGTAGTCATGTTTACATCCATATTCAAAACAATAATCAGAAGAAACTTATTAGTAATTAATCTAATAATGAAAGAAAAAAGAAAAATGTTTTATTTCATTAAAGAGTTATTAATTTGATTTAGATTGGAGAGATTGACTTTTATATTTATAAATACATTGAATACGTTCACTAATTTTGTTGCAACGTTCATTGATTAAATCAATCATAATCATTGATATTTGTTCATTATTACTCAAAGCACGTCGATCAGACCACATCTTTTTAACTTCAA